AAAACAAGTACTCAATATATTCATGGACAAAACTTTATTTTATTTTATTTTATTAAAAGTACTTCACTAAGAAATATAACTTTTTGTATGTGAAAGACTTGTAATATTAACTGAAAAACTGCCAAATTTCGTGAAGATATACCCAATATATAGAGAGTTATAAACAAGTACAGAAGGTCAAGTGACTCGGTCAAATTGACTGACCCCGCGTCGGAAGAGATATTAGGTCATCAAGAAATTAATGTTGCTTTTATATATCAAAACAAAACATTTAATATTTAGAGATCAACAAGTGCAGTCTGCCCTGGCAAAAAACATCTGGGGGAAGCACCTTGTGATACTATTGAGTATATCAAGTGTGGTCCATTTGGGTAGAAAACATCCAGTGGAAGCACCTTGCATAAAAAATATAATTATTTTGTGAATAACAAGTGCAGTCAGCCTGGGCATAAAAACATCCAGGAGAAGTGCCTTGGACTGAGCACATTACTATATAATATGAAATATAACAACAATAGCCCTCTTCTCATAGAATGGGTACATATGACTATGAAGTTCGTTTTATTCTACGAATCCCTCTCCAGAGGAAATCTCCATGGTACAACACCACAATGACTGGGAACTGGAAGTGTTAAGGACTCCTGTGCTCTACTAGAAGAAAAGGGTAGGGGGAATACATGCTGGGGAGTGCAGATGATCAACACAATGTAGACAGTGCAATGGGTGTCTACAATTCTCTATTTTGAAAAACAGAAAGACCCAATTGTGAGAACCTCAAGTCAGTAGGGATGGGCAAAAATCCCTATCTGCTTTACTCACAAAGTCCATGAGTGATAGTCCTTTATATATGACAATAATAAAAAATATATAGATATATACATACACCTGGATAATCGGTCGGTGGTCTTACAGAAACAGCCCATCTCCACAGTGAGCATTATGGAAATATACAGATTTAGTGCCAAGATATAACATTTGGCATACCTGACCAGACAACACCTGCCACCAGGTGGAATCCTAAAATGTGATGTATATCAATGAATTAATGTAAAAAAAGAAAAATATAGTAACTTTCCCCAAGCAAAGGCAAACAGATGTGTGTAGAATCACCACAGGAGGAAGACGATACCCACTCAAGGAAAACACAGCTACGTTGTGCAGATAAAGGGTGTCAAATGTATTGGGAGTTGTCCACATACCAGCCTGAACGATTTCCTCCAAATGATGGAGGTTGCAAGCAGCTAAAGCACTAGTTTGATGACAAATTCAGTGTGAAGAAACATGATATAGATGGTGACTGTCCATGGACACGTCAGAATATGCCAGTCATATGAGTTGATGAACCTGACCAATAAGCATAATAGGTGAAAAGGTCATACGAACAGAGGAATTCTGTGGAACAGAGAGACAGGAACAAGAACTATGAAAGGAGGCAGTACGAGCCATATAACATATAACGAGAAAGTAGACAATCTGCATCCGAAGGGGAGAACAGGTGGGAAAAGGAAAGTAAAGAAGTAGGCCCAACAACCTTCCTGAGCAACCAATGTCCTGGGAAGGAAGGTCCAATATGGATAGTGGATAACATATGAGGAATGGTAAAGGATGCAGGACATATTGATGGGATAACTATCAGAACGACGCCAACCACATGCCAGGAGGGGGAAGAAATAGGTCTTAAGGGGAAAATGATACAAAAAACACATTGCATTGGGTTCAAAGGGAGAACCAGACAGGGCATGAAGGACAACACTGAGATCCAAACCAGCAGAACAAAGAAATGTGAAGGATGGACCAGAAGAAAAAATGGAAAATGAGGGAAAAGAAGCAGGAGAAAGGAAGGTGTTTGACAGGGCAGCATTAAAAATAGCAGCAGTTAAAACAGACAAACCCTGAACAACCAACCAGAGGAAGAACTGGGACAAGTGAAGAACAGAAGGACAGGATGGTCAGAAGCCATGCCCAATAGACAAAAGACTGAAGTAAGACCAAAGCCTCTGGTACATAGACAAGAAGGAAGGGTTAATAGGAGAAGAAATATGCTACACGTGGGGCAAGTCCCAGAGTTGAGGCACGGGACCATACAAAAGTCACACGTGAGGCTAGAATGTGGTGATGGTGGGATGAAAAACATCCAATTGCAGTTGTTGGAAGAGCAATAAGGGCAGTGGTTGTAGCTCCAGTAACTGCCTGAGCAGAGGGAACCATATCTGAGCCAATCAATATGGAGCAACCACAGAAAACAACAAGAAGTGATCTCGATAAGGGAAAAGACCTAGGAGAGAAGAGTGATTGGAGGGTGGACATATAGGTGAAGACCCCAATCTGAACTAAAAGCATCCACCCCAGAGCTGAGGAGTGAGGAACTGGAGAACAAAAAGGGAAAAAAATTTGGCATTCTTGGAGAATCAAAAAAAGCCCACCAAGAAAGCATCTCTAAACAAATGAGATTTGGTAGGATGTGGAGAAATGGGAACCCACCCCCACTGTGGTCAAGTCCCTGTCATGCCACCAAGCAAGGTTGGCCCTGATCCCAGGTGGGAGATGGGATAGTCCAAAGGAACTTGGGGTAAGTTCCACTAAGCAAGAAGCATCCAATGAAGGAAATGCATGTGTGCTCGATCTAAGAAAATGAGAGCTTTCAAGGAAGCCCACAAACCTAAAAGAGAGAGAACCTCTCATGCACAGAGAGAGAGAAGGAAAAGATAGGGCCTTCGTGACTGCCTGCTCCATATCCCAGAGCCGAAGTGAAAAATGCTGGGCTCAACCATGACGGGAAGTGAAGAGAACCCCCAAATGAATAAGATACTGGGAGGGAGTATGACTTACGGGTCATGGGAAGAAGCAAGCAGAAGCCAGTCATCCAAGTAATAGAGAATCCAAAGACCTAACACAGCACATTATGTGGAGGCATGTTAACAGGTAAAAAATACAACGGAATGACAATTTCCACACAGTAGTTACATCCCTCTTCACAAAAATCATAACATGAAAGGAAAAATCGTCGGCCAAACGTAAGACACGAATTCCCCACAAACTAAAGTCTGTGCTTCCCCAGCAGACATCATCAATCCTAAGACCTGGGGACTAGCATTCTACTTATGGTGGGAATTTCATCATCTGCCATATTAAATCTTGAATTCATATGGCAAAGTAGAATTTGGAAACCAAAACATTTCTAAAACAAAAAAGTGGAAATAATGGAAAACAAACACAAGAAGTTGAAAATGATACAAGTTTGTGATCAAGCACAATCAAAATCTTGTAGTCATATGAGGAATGAGTTAAAACAAATGTCTATACACTAGGGTACCAATTGAGAATATCAGGTTTGTGCTGCAATGGTTTGGTTTGTTTTGAATTTTGCGCAAAGCTACATGAGTGCTATCTGCACTAGCTGTCCCTAATTTAGCAGTGAAAGACTAGAGGGAAGGCAGCTAGTCATCACCACCCAACACCAACTCTTGGACTACTCTTTTACCAATACATAGTTGGATTGACCATTACATTATAATGCCCCCACGGCTGAAAGGGCAAGCATGTTTGGTGGGACGGGGATTCGACCCATGACCATCAGATTGCGAGTCAAGCACCCTAACCACCTGGCCATGCTGCAATGGTAGAGGGAGCTACCTGCACTAGTATAGGTAGCAAAATATGATTGGTGGAGAGGTAGTCACATGATCAGCACATGTTGCTGCAATGGTGCAAAAATGAAAGGGGATATAAAAGACTGGTGCATTGTTAAAAATTTTAGTAATGCTTAGAGGGAAAATTAAGGTCAAGTTAACTTTGGGTGAGAGGAGGTAGTATATCTTCAAAATTCAAAGTTACAGTACATTGTTTTAAATAAAAAGTTTAACAAAAGCACAAGATTCTTTTAAAAAATGGTAATGTTCAAATCAGTACTGTTTACAGAAACAGTAATAGATGTAAATCACAAATTTTGCTGGCCAGTATTTTAATTGTTCCTTAAGTTACAAATTATCTATCAAAGCACTGCATTATTTCATTGAATATACCCAAATGAAATAATAGGAAATCACAAAGGCTCCTAATTTTGTAGCCTATAACACACTTCTACAAAAGTTGTATGTACCATAATTGTAAAATTATTTTTTTTAAAGAAGCCATTATGTTAGATAAGCCACTTTTCAGTACGTGTAAACTACAGTAAAATATATATACATTAATCAAATTCAATTAAATTTAGCAGCTTACAATAAGTTTTATCTTACAACTACAACACACTGTAAAAAAAATATTTAATAATATGCTTCATCATATATTAACAATTACTCATTTATAAGAGTTGAATATTAACTACAGATAATCAAAAACCTTTATTTTCATGAAATTCTTTTCTTCAGTTACACTCAAAAAACAATGAAGGTTTGATCTTTTTGTTCATTCCATTTGTTATAACTTTTTAAAACTAATAAAACAGCATTTTCTCAACACAATGAGCCACTAATTATATATGTGTATTTGGAAGTAATACAGGTATTATGTCTTTTACTTTACATTGTATTCCTTTTTCTTTATATTATTATATCTTGTATTTCCTGTCCACTACCAGCTATATTAAACTGAACACCTTTAAAAAACTTACCAAAGCTTGAACTGACCAAATTCTATAGTAAGGAGCATCTTTTGGGACTTTTAATTTAAATTTTTTCCACATTATTAGGTGGCTGAGCCCATTCAGAACAGAAAAAAATACTGATGCAGGCTCCTGGATACCCCAAAGTCTAATGAAAGGCCACTGAAAAAAGTAAAAATCTTCAAATTAATGTAGGAGTTACAGATATTGTGGATTTTCATCATATTTAAATAATGGAGATTAAAGTAGAGCAAATGCTATGCCATTAAATATAGCTTCTTTAGCAAATTTTGTTTGAAAAACTTAGTAATAATTATTCACCTAACTGCCAATAAAATGAAAGGTTAACATTCTCCTTACCTGAAAATGTATTTCTGATGAATAATCACCTCTCCACAAAATTATCTTCCCTGTACATCTGCCTTACATATTTGAATGCCACTAAGCTTTAGGCAACTCCCATGAGATTTTCTTGTGAATTGCACTACTGCATAATGACATTATTATGCAGCAAAAGCTTTCCATGAATAGGAGGGCAACACACTTCCCTGCACATTAACTCCCTTTATGCTTTTGCACTAATGAATATTCTTTCTTTGATGAGGCAAGGAATACTAAGATGCACCAAAAGTGTGGAGAAAGATGTGTGAAAATGTGAGTATCTATTGGAAATACATTTTTCAGTAAGGAAAATGTTAAGTTCCAAAATTATACCCACCACTACACACAATTACGCTAGAATCCCATGTTGAAGTGGTGAATGGGCTGGTGCATAGATTTGCCTAAATGAGTTCCCTTCAGAAAGTACCCAAAGGAAACACACGGGGTATGACATCCAATAGCAGAGGTTCCACAGGGGCATACCTGTGTGAGACTGTATCTCATCTCTTCCAGGGTTAACCCTTCACCCAGGAAAATAAGAGGAAGAGGCAAATGAGTCTCATATGTTGCAGGAATGTATAGAATAAGAACATGGCCATCTGAGTACTTACACACAAGATGTCAGAGAGCCAATATGTGTAGCATTCACACCATAATTTGTGCTCACCTCAACTCTACCATCAGACTATTGGACTGATTACTGCTGCAGGATGAGGACACAGATTCATGCCATAGTGTGTGTGTGTGCACACTCTGACTCAGCTGAATAGATATCAGTTACAGGAAGAAGGCACAATCTGTTTGTGCATGCTTGTATCAACTCAACAGGTGATGACCACAGGAATATGGCAAATATGTATATTATGCTCCCCTGACACTACTGAACAGAAATCAGCTGTAGGAGAAAGGTCCTGTTTCTTAGTATGTGCTCATGTCACTCAACTGAACAGATGATGTCTACAGGAGAAGGGCAAATGTGTATAAAGAGTGATCACCTCAATTTTACTGAACAGACATGACTGCAGGAGAAAGGTACAGTTTAGTGATGTGTGCTCACCTCAACTGAACAGGTGCAGACAGCATGAAGGTGGCATAGTATCATATAATGTGTTAATTTCCACTTTACAATACAGACTCGGGCCACAGGAGGAGAGCACTAGTGGCAATGTTATACATATAGTTATAAGAGGAGTGACCTGCACTACACTAACAGTGTTACCACTGCCCCACTTCCCACTGATTAGCCCCAGCAGTCAGGGTGGACCACCTTAGCAGATAGAAACTGATAATAGGCAAAGGTCTCTCATGTTCCACTCAAAAAGAAAAGGAGTGGGGGAGAATTCTTGGTGGAGACACCCGAAGAAAATACCCAGATACCCATCGATCCCATTTCAGCCAGAAAGGTCTTTTACTGGAGACAGTGCAATGGATGACTGTGTTTCCCTATTTTGAAAAGCCAGCAAGAGCAAGCCAAGGAAGCAGGCAGAGAACCCACTGGTGATGGCTTTTCCATGATAGTCCATGGAATAGGTACAGTCTGGACTGGACAGTAGTCAGATAAATAAATATCTTATGAGGATACCTCAAGTGATCTTGTGAAACATCCCATCTCAACAGTGGCCATATACTAGAGCCAAGGCAGATGGTATGAGCACCCTCCATTGTCCTAGTTTCATGAGGAATTTTGGGAAATAAGTACAC